CTCGTGATCCTCCTGCCTCAGCCTCCCAAATTGCTGGGATTTCAAGCGTGAGCCACCATGTCCGGCTAATTTTTACCTTAATTACATAGCCCATCCTCCCGATGTCCTCTTCTGGAAGACAGAGGTCCTCACCACATAGTGTTTTAAGATGAGACAGCGCGACAAAAGCTTTGTTTCCATAAGTCTACAGCAGCCTCATTAGCTCAATGTTCCTGATACTGAGCTCAAACCATTTCCTGAAACATTCAGTCAGTGCTACTGGTTCTGGTCTCTCAGTCTCTCTCTCTCTCTTTTTGGCACTGGGGATCAAACTCAGGGGCACTTTTACCACTGAGCTACATTCCCAGCCCTCTTTATTTTTTGAGACAGGGCCTTGCTAAGTTGCTGAGGCTGACCTTGAACTTGCGGTCCTCCTGTCTCAGTCTCCTGAGTCGCTGGGATCACAGGTGTGGCCACCATGCCTGGCTGGTTCTGGTCTCTTGGGTCATCATATATTAAGCCTGGTCCCTGCTTCACTGCAGAGTGAGGGGAAACATACCTCTTAGACTTCAACCCTACAAATCCCCCATCATTGTTCTAGACACATCTTAGACACACCAGATTCACTTCCCCTCCACTGGAAAGTTCTTCCCCAGGTACCTTCATCTCATCTTTGTCCCAGCATCACTTTCTCGGTAAGGCTTACACCCTCTTTGAGCCTGCTGACCTGCCCCTTACCTTGCTCCAGTTGCCCCATGGCATCAGGATGTGACCTATGCACCGTGCACTGTGCATAACCTGTCCCCCAGGTAGAATGCTACTCCATGACAGCTGGACTTCATCTATTTTAGTCTCTGCTGAATGTATTGCTTTGTTTGTCATAATGCTGGGGATGCAACCCAGGCCTTACAGGTGCTAGGCAAGTGCTACCACTGAGCTACACAGCCCTGATGTCCACTTCTTGAATGACGCTCTGTAGGGTATTGGCATCCAATTCAAATTACTTTGTGAAAAATCAACCCTCTTTACCCTGCACCCCACAAAAGATGCTAAAATTGGCTGCTAATATTCAGCCAATGAGTCAATTAAAGGCTACCATTTCCTCCTTCCCTCCTCTTCTAAGCTAGCCTGTTGTTGCTGCTGGTAGTTTTTGTTTTGTGCTTAGCCCCTTCATCCTTGTTTGCTGGGCTGGTAGGTACTTGCTGCTGTCCTCTGGCCTGGGTCATCTGTGGGTGTGAAGCATCTTCACTACATCCAACAGGGAATGAACCCTTGGCTACAGAGAGGAAATGCTGCACTTTTTTAAAAACAACTTTTAAAATGTTTAGTTGACAATGAAAACTGCACACATTCAAGGTGTACAATGTGATGATCTGATGAACATGTGCATTTTTCGATTCTCACAAACTAATCAATGCATCTATCACCATCTGCACTCAATTATTTTCATTTTCACGATTTTATCTGATCATTAGGATGAAACAAGGAATTTCTGTCAAATGCAATCTCAACAGTAACTCATTACTAACTGCAAATTCCCCCAGAAGAGACAACAAGAGGCAATGTGAAATTTGCCCATTTTATCAATGACAAACCCAGATGGCTCCCATAGTCAATGACTCTCAAGCATTTTATCTGTGATCAGAGAAAGAACCAGTACTTGCTAATTTCATGGGGGATAAAACTCAAAACCTACTAGGGTTTCAAGAACTAGTCTGGCCCAATTACCACCAGCCCCCACCAACTGTCTCTACTTCTGATATAAGATTATGCACATACCGGGGACAATGGCCCTCCAGGTAGCACTGATTTAGCAACAGCTCTTTGCCTTTGAACCCCCCTGTGCTCTCCAGAGTCTCAGCTCTACATTGGAGCCATTTCCAGCACCACCAACCAGGCCTAACCATTCTCCTTCCACAACTCTCAATTTCAGCAGCAGCCCATTTCTGCACATGGTAAATGACTCCTTCTTGCTACTGAGCACAACAAACATGGGCTCAATAGGCTTTTCCTGTACTATTATCCTGCAGCCAAGTAGAATCAGCTTTATGACATCAAAGCTATTTCCACAGAGCAGACTTAAGTCACGACCACAGGTTCCCTCTGACAGTTATAATCATAGGCCAAGGCAAAACAGGCCAAAAAAAAAAAAAAAAAAAAAAGCTTGAGTAATGTACTTATATATCTTTATAAAAACATTTTGAGATTTAAGATATTTAAGCCTTCTTTGATATAATATTAAGCTTTTTCTGATAAAGCTGAACTATGTTTCTAAGCTATTACATGAACCATACTCATAACGGAGCCTTCTTAAAACCAGAAAGGAGATCTTGCCAAGTTTATATCAACCTTCGAGAAAGAATGGAATAGACTAGGAAATGATGTAACAACCTCCATGAAATATTTTTTTTTAAAAGAGTAAAGAATAAAGGCATATATACCCTTGGAAACAGATAGTCAGGCCCCCAGGCACTCCAAGCTGAGTCCTTGGAGGCACGTGGAATCCCAAAAGGTTCAGTAGCAAAAGTCAGACAAGCTGCCTGTGATCCAACTGTCTTCTGAAGATGCCTGAAGTAGCCACTGTCCACAGAGCAAGAAGATTTATGGGTAGTGAGAGAAGAAAGGAATTCAACTAACTATCCAGTGTGAAATGACCCTGTCCTATTATCTTGGCCTCTAAAAGGCAAGATGTGGGTGGAGTATACAAATAAAATAGAAGCCCCCAGATGGAGAAAGAACAGTCCAATCCGATTCCACAGCCACACCCATCCTCCTGGATGAACCCAGGGCTTCCCCACCCTGGCTTTCTGTGCAGGGCCCCAGAGAATACCTGAGCTGGGCGTTTTTCAGCAGTAAGTGGAGTCAGAGGACTTTTTCCATAGGGCAATGTGAAAGCCCAAACAGAGGTAGTGAGAACTAGGGATTGTGGGGTCCAAGGACTTGAGCTTACATGATGGCTCTCACGGCAAACCTCACCAAGGGATAAACTGGGCTGAGGCCAGAGAAGGCACCTAATCAGCACGGATTGAAAGGTGGAGTCCAAATCTGGATCCTGGGTTCTTGTGTCCAGGCCTAAGGCTCTTCCATGCTGTCTCTAGCATGTGCTTGTGTGTGTGGTGGGGGGCGTGTGTGCCGCCATCGGATGGAGAGGTGTGTGCTGGAGGCTGGCACATGACCTTCTCCTTCTGCACCCTACAGCACTTTTCACACTGCAAACAGCGAGGGCCTGACCACAGGAGGAGGCTGAGGGTGATGTTAGGAGCCATCTCACATCCAGCCCCAGCTTCCAGGGGGCAAAAACTGGCCCACTGAGCCATGTGAAACACCAAAACAAAATTAGGGGGTGAGGGTGTGGCTCAGTGGTAGAAGAAAAAAGGAAGAGCTATATGGCTAAAATAAAATTAGGCTCCAAACCTCACCTTGGTACTAGTGTCACTTGTATTTACAAATGAGGGTTATCTTTTTCTTATAACATCAACTTCATATTTACTCAATCTTTCAACCTGGAGCGGCAGGCATGACGGATGTCCTAATTTTACCCACAAGAAAACTAAACACAGGCCAAAGAGTATGCTGGGTCCTGCTTTTTTGCATCAGTCATTTCTCACCTCCCTATTTCCACTTGGACTTTTTGCTCTGTACACCCATCCTGAGCAAAATCCTGATGACTCCCACTGATGAAGACAGACACACCCTCCCAAGAGTCAGATGCAAGATCACACATGGCATCCAGCATGCCACTCCCCTACAGGCTGGAGTCCACTGAGGGGTCCAGTGGACAGGTGGATTCCTACGATTATCAAGTGTGGACCTGTTAAGAGAAGAAAACCCTTTTCTTCTCAGAAGGAGATGTTCCAAATCTTTCTGCTCATCTTGAAAAGAAAAACAAAAAAACACCAAACCAAAAAACACTTTGGAAATGGAACAAAAGATCTAGCTCCAATCCTCTCCACAAAATGCCTCAGAGCCAACATCTGGTTATCACTATTTCTGGTTAGAAAATGTTTTATTTATTTCAAAGCAGTTTATGGAAGTAGCAAAGTAGTGGAAATTTTAAAATAACTTGCATGCCTGCAGGAAATGGTCCCAGCTGTGCTCTCACTCCACAGAAACAGGGCCCCCAGGCACATGTGCACAGAGTCCCAGTACACAACCACCACGCACAACCAGGCACTCCCAGATGGCTTCTGTGTTTGCAGGAACACAGCTCGGGACCCTCTCTTCCCTGTTACTGCTCAGACTGCAGCACAAATGCAGCCAGGACAGTAAAGCCACCAGGGCAACTTTCTGCCCGCCTCGTCCCAGCTGCCAACACTGGTATTTTAAGCCAGACACCCCTAGAATGCTGGTCTGGGCCCACCTGGGGATCACAGCAGAGAACTGCTGGAACAGCTGGGACACCTCAGAGACTTCTGAATCTCCCACTGCCTCAAGTTCCCTGGCTCAGTTCAGCTGGGGTTCACCTCCTACCTCCTTCTGATTAAGAGATAGCTCCACACAACTAAAGCTGTTACCTGCTATGAGTTAAGTGTGTGTGGACATTTACAAATACCATTAGCCATCTGTATCCACGGCCATGCATCCATGGATTGAAAATGTTCAGGAAAGAAAATTCCCACTGGTACTAAACAAAGGCGTTCTTCTTGTCATTACTCCTTCAACAATACAGCATAACAACCGTCTCTACAGCATTTACACTGTGTCATTGTAAGTAATCTAGAAGCGATTTCAGACACACAGGAGGAGGTGTGCAGGTTATATGCAAACACCATGCTATTTTATACAAGAAACTCGAGCACATCTGGAATTTGACATCTTTGAGATGTTCTGAAACCAACCTTTCTAGGACCCTGCAGGATAACTAAAATATATACACTGGGGAATGTAGGGTTCAAACATACAGGCCTGTTCTGAAAATAAGGTCTTTTACTAGAACGAATTTAATCAGAGGTTCACTTTACTCTCTGCTTCCCAGTCTAAGCTGTCATTGTTTCTTTTTTAGAAGATTTAAAGAAAAATAATTGTTTGTTAAATACTTTATTTGGCTTAATTTCTCCTTTCTACAATGCAATTGAGTTGACAGATTATGGGAGTCCTGGAGAAAAAAAGCTGGGAGAAGGCTACTAGCCCTCATCACAGGCTTTCTGCATGGCCATGCTGGCCACAATCCCGTCACTCGGCACAGCTGCCATCCCACACTCTCAGGACAACCTCCCTAAGAAATGTAAAGAAAAGAACATGGTACTTGGACTGAAGAGTAACTCTGCCTCTGTAGTGCTCTTTGGGGACTTGGTCACTTACGCTGCAGAGTCAGTCTGGTGACTTGTGTTCATGGCTCCCATGTCCTGGGGTGAGGAAAGCAGAGACCCCTGCTTATTAGAATCTGGGAACGCCCTACATCCTCTGTATCATTTGGCCATCCCTGTCCTGTCAGCCTCATGTTTGAGCGGTTAGGTGCCTGTCCCTTCCTGACACTGTCTTGTGCTGATTTTTAATGCCAAGGAGTTGGGCAGCACTGCTGCAAGAGAACCAGCCTGAGTTTCTGCTTGGGGATCCTGGCTTCTGGGAGAACTGGGGGTTGGTTCTGTCTTCCCTCCATCTGGCTGGAAACTCTTGCTCCAGGTCAGCAGTGGCTACCAGAGCCACCTTCCGGAAGAACCCACTGTGAGGCAAGTGTTTTGTCCCACCCCGTTGGTGCACGGTTACCATAAAAGCCTACCCGCCCCTCAGTCTTTGAGGCTTCCCTGTCCCACCACTGGCCGGGCTACCTTGGGGTTGGTTCGCTGCTGCAGCCTCCTCTCCTCCCGCTCTTGCTGTAGTCGCTCAAACTCTTCTCTAATTTCCGCTGGAGTTCTCCTCCGCTCCACAACCTGTGGGCAAAGCAAGGCAGCCAGCTGAGAACTAGGACGCGAGGAAAATAAGCAAAGAATTTCTGAATGACTTCATTTTGGCATGTACAGGCTGCTGGGGAGCCTACCAGGCTCGCCCCTGGGACCTTGAGATGTCAGGGGAGCTGTGACGAGCTCCCCACCACGGACCCCAGAGGACAGAGAGTGCTGCCACCCTCCCAGGACTGTAGTGTGTGACTTCCCTCAACTCTCCACAGTCTGACATTCTTTTTTATTATTATTTTTATTTGTTCTACTTAGTTATACAAGACAGCAGAATGCATCTCAATTCATCATTCACAAATGGATCACAACATTTCAATTCTCTGGTTGTACACAGTGTAGAGACACAACATTCGTGAAATCATACACATACCTACGGTAATGATGTCCATCTTGTTCCACCATCTTTCCTACCTCCATAACCCCTTCTCACCCTCCCCTTTGCCCAATCCAAAGTTCCTCCATTCTTCCCATGCCCCATCAACCCCTGCAATCATAGATCAGCATCCACTAATAAGAAAACATTCAGCCTTTAGTTTTTTGGGTTTGGCTTACTTCACTTAGCATAATATTCTCCAACTCCATCCATTTACCTGCAAATGCCATAACTGTATTCCCTTTTAATGCTGAGTAATATTCCATTGTTTACATATACTACAGTTTCTTTATCCATTCATCTATTTATGGGCATCTAGGTTGGTTCCATAGTTTAGTTATTGTGAATTCAGCTCTATAAACGTTGGAGTGGCTAGGTCACTTCAGTATGCTGATTTTAAGTCCTCTGGGTATAAACTGAGGAGTTGGATACCTGGGCCAAATGGTGGTTCCATTCCAAGTTTTCTGAGGAATCTCCACACTCCTTTCCAAAGTAATGCACCAGTCTGCAATCCCACCAGCAGAGTATGGTGCACCTTTCCCTCACATCCTCTCCAACACTCATTACTGTCTGTATTTTTGATAACTGCCATTCTGCAGTCTGACATTCTTTACTTTAAGCCACCTCTTTGAGGCTGCGTGAATCTTACAAAGAAAATCTCACAGTTTAAATTTTCTAATTGAGTCCCTGGTTATAAATTCTGGCTATGAACTCAGACATGACTCTGGCTGGTCACTACACTCCCTGTGGGCTGATAGGACCAGAGGATCTCAAGCTATGAGAGTCAGGTATTCTAGACTTCCGGGACGCCTGGCATTGTGCAAAGCTCTGGGTTCAATTCCTAGCACATTTGGTTATGGGGTGAGTAACATTCTTTTCCCCTCAAATAACTCAATATTATAAATCAACTGCTAAAAAGGAAGAGGTGATTCTTTTTTCTTTTTTTGGTACCAGGGGCACTCGACCCCTGAGCTACATCCCCAGCCCCTTTTGTATTTTATTTGGAGACAGAGTCTCACTAAGTTGCTTAGCACTTCGCCCTTGCTGAAGCTGGCTTTGAACTAGTGATCCTCCTGCATCAGCCTCTTGAGCTGCTGGGATTACAGGAGTGTGCTTTCACGCCTGGCAGAGGTAATTCTTTTTTAAGGAAGCTTTAAAATAAAAAAAAAGATTAGCTAGGCACGGCGGTGCATTGTCTGTAATCCCAGAGGCTCTGGAGGCTCAGGCAGGAGGATTATGAGTTCAAAGCCAGACTCAGCAATTTATCAAGGTGCTAAGCAACTAAGTGAGACCCTGTGTCTAAATAAAATACAAAAAAGGGCTGGGGATGTGCCTCAGTGATGAGTGTCCCTGAGTTCAATCCCTGGTTCAAAAAAAAAGATTATTAAAATCACCCAAGAAAAATAGAAAGACCTAAATGGCACGACAGAGATTGCTTTGGGACCTCAGGAAACATACTTGGTTTTACTAAATGGACAGGACAGGTCCCTCGCCTGAGTTTGCCAACACCAAGGGCCCATGAGCCTATCAGTGGATACCCAAAGCCACCACCTTGGCCGGAATGAAAGCCAGGCACAATCTACAATTTCCATTACCTTCTAACCTGTCAGTCTCTCCCTTCATTGAGTGAAGGAAGAAAGAAAAAAAAAAAAAAAAAAAAGCTTCAGGGAAACTATGTAGTCAATTGTTACATTTATCTTTGAAGAACCATAAAAAATGATTCAAAATACTTTAAATGTTGTTTATGAGGTTAAGTGGGCTATGGCTGCAAACACAATTTATCTGGCCCCTGCCAATGACTTAAGAAACACATCACGAGGAAAAAGAGGGTCTGGGTCTGGAAGGGAGGTGGCTCCTCCACATGGCCCAGGGAATCAATACGGTCCCAACTTGGACCAAAGGTTCCATAACTGTTCCATTCAACAGGGCTTGGTTTTAAAAACAGGTTAAACAAAAGTTTTTTGTTGGGCTGGGGATGTGGCTCAAGCGGTAGCGCGCTCGCCTAGTGTGCGTGCGGCCTGGGTTCGATCCTCAGCACCACATACAAACGAAGATGTTGTGTCCACCGAGAACTAAGAAAAAATAAATAAATGTTAACATTTTCTCTCTGTCCCCCCTTCTCTCTCACTCTCTCTTTAAAAAAAAAGTTTTTTGTTTTTTGTGTTTTTTTAGTTGTAGATGGACACACAATACTTTATTTTATTTGTTTATGTGGTGCTGAGGATCGAACCCAGTGCCTCATGCATGCAAGGCAAGCGCTCTACCACTTAGTCCCAGTCCAAGCAAGTTTGCTTAGCTATTTTAACCAGCAACTTTAACAGACCCCATCAATGTGTGCATACACCATTTTTTAAAAAAATAAACCAATGTGCAAGTTTCTAATAATTTAAATCTGTTCATATCCTGCAGGAAATCAAAATATTAGACATGCCAGGCTCCATAGAGGTCACAGCAAGAAAAGATATGTTTTCAGGAATTCTAGCTGTTTACTCTTTGCAGATGGAATTAATAGCTGCAAATTACTCCCTGTCGTACTCTGTGATAAGCTACAGAAAAAAATAATCCAAAAAATGCCAGATTTGGCTCAGCCCCCTGAGTAGCCTATATTATAGGCACCTGCCACTGAACTTGGCTTCTAGTCATATTTTGAATAATTCTGCAAATAGTTGGTGCATAATCAGAGCTAACTGCCAAGTCAAAATGGCTGGTCCCTCCAGAGAGTGGAGGACACTTTGCTAAGTAAGCATCTCACTCTTGGCTCCCATAGGCCTTTGCCATCCAGGATGCTTCACATCCTTCTGTGAACAGAGGACATGATGTTGGAGAGTAGATGGGGACTAAGATGGCCATGGGCCACTCTTCCCCACTGTGGCAGTCCTTAGAAGCATCCAGGAATACAGCACCCTGTATAGTATTGCAGCTGGTAAAGATCACATATTCTCTGCTTCTCATGAACAGAGAGCATCATATGCAGCCCAAGAATCTACACAAGTGTGTTGTTCACCTGAACCACTTGCCACAGGTCTATCCCTAGACTAGCCAGGAAGCCTCACCTTATGGAGAGAGGAATACAGACATTTTGGAGGGGAAATGGCAAATGGAAAGAGAACAGAAACCTAGCCTCCGTCTGATACAACTGCTAACCTCCAGGCAACCTGAGGCAAGTCATTCCTCTGTAAGTTTCAGTTTCCTGCTATGACATGAGGACAGTTAAAATACCCAATTCTGCCTGGTGCAGTGGCACACGCCTGTAATACCAGAGGCTCAGGAGACTGAGACAGGAGGATTGCAAGTTCAAAGCCAGCCTCAGCAACTTAGCAAGGTCCTAAGCAACTCAGTGAGTCCCCGTATCTAAATAAAACACAAAAAAAAGGACTGGGGATGTGGCTCAGTAGTTAAGTGCCCCTGAGTTCAATCCCTGGTACCAAAACAAAAAACAAAAGAATAAAATTCCCAAGGTGCCATCTGGTTTGAAAATTCTATGATATTAGCCAATTTCTTATTTTGGAATATGTTTAGAAATTTAGAACTTCAAAATAGTTGCAGATAGTTCAGAAAGTTCTAGTATACTCTTTATCCAGCTTCCCTTAATGTTAACATCTTACTTAATCATGAACATGCGTCAAATCTGAAACCAACATTAGTACATTTCTTTTTCTTTTATTTTGGGTACCAGGAATTGGACTCGGAGGCACTCGACCACTGAGCCACATCCCCAGCCGTATTTTGTATTTTATTTGGAGACAGGGTCTGAGTTGCTTAGCGCCTCACTTTTGCTGAGGCTGGCTTTAAACTTGTGATCCTTCTGCCTCATCTTCCTGAGCCACTGGGATTATAGGCATGAACCCTCATGCCCAATTCATTATTACATTTCTATTAACTAAACCCAGATTTCTCAGATTTTACTATTTTTTTCACTAACATCCTTTCTCTGTTCTGAGTTCTAATCCAAGATGGGAAAAGTGAAACAGAGATAATACTGTGATTGCAAATGCAGATAACCCAGGCCAAAGGATCCAACTCTAACTATAAATTTTGTTGTGATTCTGTTGTTGTTGTTGTTTTTTTTTGGTGCTGAGGATTGAACCTAGAGCCTTGTGCATGTGAGGCAAGCACTCTACCAACTGAGCTATATCCTCAGCCCTAAACGTAAGTTTTGAAAATGACATTTGCAGGTGAGCTGAGTTATGTGTTTTCCATTCCACTTGCCCCTGCTATCAGTCATCATCATCAAAGCACAGTTCAAAGTTAGATTTTCATTGGGCTAAGAAAAGAGCTTAGCTGGTAGAGAGCTTGTCTAGCGTGCACAAGAACTTGGGCTCAATCCCCAGTACCATGAATAAATAAATTGATTTTTGCTATTTTATTTATTTAAACTTATTTTTAGATGTCAGTGAACCTTTGTTTTATTCATTTATTTATATGCAAAGCTGAGAATTGAACCCACTGCCTCACACATGCTAGGCAAGCGCTCTACCAGTGAGC